TTAGAAAATCCGCCGGATTTGTCTATTATATTTGGCAACTTGGAAACGCGTATGTCACTTTTCTCTCAAGATTTATTGCTCCATTCCAGTAGAGTGTAAATATAGTAGGCCAATGACTTTCAGTTGATGTTAATGCAACGATCATTCCTTTCATCGAAAGGAGGCCCAGCTAGTCCCATATATGCAATGAGGTAGCCTATACCTAACCAGACACAATGGCCGTCCTCAAAGAACACAACATTTTGCAGGACAGCAAAACACAAACGTGTGTAGTAAGTTAGTTTAGTTTTAGTAGAGGTTTTGCGGCGCTCGCAACTGCATAAGGTTGTATGAGCGCCCGAAAATTAGAGGTGTTACAAGAGAGTAAAAAACATAATAAAGAAGGAGGGGATATAAGGACGATAGATGTTTGATAGGAACGAAGAAGCAAACCACACCAGACCACTCGCCAACCACCCACGTCTGTAGTAATGAAGAAACACTGGCATACGTGAAGTAGCGTCAAGGCGCTTTGCAGTCTTACTCTGGAGACCCGAGTTCGATTCCCGAGTTGGGAGAACTTTTGTTTAGCATCTTGGTCTTCTTGCTGTGACCTGTAGCCCTCTCTGCTCGGTTTGGTATTGACAGGCAGTGTCGATGCCCACCTCCTAAATGGTCTAAAACATGTCCGGGGGGGGGGGGTAAAATACATACGTTGCAAAACAAAAGTGACGCAACGGTGCGTACTCTTATAATGACGAAAGAAGTAGGCTACCTCCCGGGGTGGAGTTACTGACTGAAGTGTCTTTAGGCCATTCCAAAAGCGGGGACATTAGCATGTTCTTAATCTTATGCACAGTAGAATTGTAAATGGGCTGATTCATCAATGGCATGCTCATAACTGTGCCTGGGCTGCAAAAGGCAACTCCTGCTTTTCTTTCCTAATCCTTACTCTCGTCAATTTCCTTTACTTCTTTTGAACATGTATGTTTGTCATACTCTTGTGACCCGCTATTTCCGGTGATGTTGAAGTTAGAGAGGTGAGCAGAGTAAGCTTGATTCCCTGTATGGACTTCTATATTGACAGCCACCCCTTGGCGCTCATATGACCTTACAGTTGCTAGAGGCAGACAGAGGGAAAAGATAGTGAACAAGATGACAACAAGGCTGGGAGCAGCAAGAACAACAGACACCATTGCGGCAACGCAAGACAGAATGAAGTGGAGGTCCATGATCGCCCACGCCAGTCGTCAAAGCACCGGATGATAATGAGCGCCGTAAAAACTCTACAAAACAAAACAACCCCCCCTCCAAAAAAAAAAGAAAAAGACGAACAATCATGTTGAGATCATTCCAGGTGTATCGCTCCAGAGTTCAAAGTTTATTCTTGGTGAATTGCATTGGATGGAGGTGTTCTCATTGACCAGTCCGAATTTGTCTGACTGGAGAAGAGCAAACGATAAAGTTTAAGTTTAAATTACCTGTATCGGTGCCATTTTAAATTGATGGATTAGAACGTAAGGTTGTCATATTATCGTCATCGTGTATTTCGTCTCGGTGTCGTAGCGTACGTAGGCCTATTGGTTTCCAGTTCCGCGTTGCTCAGAAGCAGAGAAGTGGGGAAAATTACATCGTGCGACAAAGGGCGGTTAGGTAGGTCAACAGCGTGACTCAGTACCTTTAACTTTAAGGTCCATTTAAAAACACATTTCTGGGTTAATTTTACTGAAAAATGTTGATTTAAGGCACAACAAACGTGTAAATTTGTAGTTTCTAAGGACTCTTTGGAAGCCGTCAAAGTTTAGCTGCCATTTTCTGAAACCACCGATCTCTCCCCCCCCCCCCCTCCAAACTCCTTCTATCTCAAATATATCGACTTCTATTCATGATAGATGAGTATTTGCCAGTAACTCCACATGTCCAAAAATTGACGAGCGCCAGATTCCATTGCATCGTGACACATTTGATCGCGAACTCCTCGATGGCAGAGCGCAAGAAGCGAGCATGTCCCCTTTTGGTTGAAATGGAGTAATCGATATGGGTAGTGAGATTTTAAACCGTGCTTTTACCTCTGTGAATATCTAAGCTGTTGCTTAGTTCGGCATCGAGATATTAACGTTTCTTTTTTAAAATTTTGTTTTAGTTTTAGTAGAGGTTTTACGGCGCTCGCAACTGCATAAAGTCATATGAGCGCAAGAGGATTAGGTGTTACGAGAGAATAACAAACATAAGACACTTTCGTTTCCATTACTACCAATTCGTTTAAATCGTTACCAAAGTCACCAAAGCAAAGTTGAAAGAAAACAAACTACCGTACAGGCACTATTGATTTTTAAAATTGCAATTCCCCAACTGTTAAAAATTGTATTATAAGCGTATGTGTTACCTGGAGCCTCACCACGATTGTTCAGAGACCGATAGATCTATTTGTTTTTTATGTAAAAAGAAATGCCAATTTCAACTTCTATTTTAAAAAATAAAGATCCACCCTTTAACTTTTAAACTTCTACTTCAATGTCTTAGCTCAGGAAGAGAATGCAATTCTCTAATATTTCTAAAATGTGTTCCAATGGTGAAACAGAATAGACTAAAGTTTAGTAATACTTTTAGAGTGAATACAGTTATATGAACGTGCGAAACACTAGTTGGTTGCATTCCCAACAATTCACAGCATGGCTTGATTTTGATCAGTGTTTATTTTAAAATAAAATTTAAAAATAAAATTAAGAACTTCAACGAATTAAACCATGTAAAAGCAATGCACATTGGGACCAAACAATCAATGACAGACCAAAGATAACTTTCAAAGTGATCATACTTTTATTTTATTTACAAGGCTCAAACATGTACTTTTATATTATATCGATCTGTCTCAGAACATTTGCCAAAGTAATGAAACAAACAAGAGCAAACTGATCTGTCACAATTATATATAAAAAGATCCACACCTAGCGACATACACAATCATTCAAACCATTCAAAGTGAGCCTCCCTAATCAACGTAAATGTGTATAGGATGTAATGTGATAATGTGTTTTCATGAAAGCTTGACATGGAGCTAAACTTCATGAAGAGACGACAAATTGCAGCCAACATGATGATGATAAAATCCCCAACGTAAATGATCTGGCACACTGAGTGACAATAACACACACACACACACACTCATACATACAAATCAGATATGATCAAGTCAGGGCTAAACAAAATGTATTTGCAAGACGCACCAACAATTTCCATAAATATATAATGGCAAATCAAATACATTCAGGGGAAAAAAAACCCAACTAACAAATATTATTACTCATACATAACGAATGAACTCAATGCAGTTGAAGATGCTCTAATGACCACAGAATCATTTTTGCAAATTATCACTTCCCATTTCTTCTCCCCTTTGTGCTTTCCTTTTCTATATAATGACATAGTCCAAAAAACAAGTTACTGTAAAACCTGTCCAAGATGACCACACATTGGTGAGGAGGAAAGTGGTCATCTTGGACAGGTTTTACAGTAATAGAAATTAATAACAACACAGAGAGATTTGTCTGTATTGGGATCTATGGAGGGAGGCCCCTAGCAGACACAATGTAGGTCACTGTGGAGGTTGAAGACTTGGTCCTCAGTCAGGGGAAACGAGGAAACTGACCAATTGTTTTTTTTTTAATCTAACTGAGGATTTTTAACGACCCCATTTACACAAGGTAGCCTATCTAGGAAGAAGGCTTCTGACCTTGCATGTCAGGATCAACCCAGGCTGAGAAGAATACAACATCCAAGCAGAAAGATCAGGATGATCGAGTTGACTGTCTTACAAGCTACCACACAAACATTAAAACAATTTAGAGTAACACATTGATAAAAACATGAGAGGTGACATCCTCACTGTACACAACTTGACCCTCCTCCAACCAATTCAACAGGCAGCTGAGAAGATAATTCCCCCCCCCCCCCCCTCGTGACTACCACGGGTAAAGAGAAGTGAAGTAAAGGTGTGTGAGGGCCAAATAACCTGAAATTCTAGACAAAAAAAAAATCTCATGCTCTCAGGTTCAAAAAGGGAATGCAGTGTAAACATGCTGAGTTTAATGGGGGGGGGGGGGGGGGATTCCACTTTTTCCACCAGGAGGTGTGCTCATTGCTACCACCTAAACCACTTGTTATAAAAAAGACAATCATGGGGAATTAAATACATAAAAATAATAAGAGAAAATAAATGAAGAAAGAAGTGTTGCTACCTTTGAACCTATAACATCATTTTACGGTTTCTAACAGCAACAATCCACACAGAGGAAATCCCATCCCAACCAAAAATGGGTAACAACATTAGAATAAATTACTGTAACTATGTCACCCTGAAAGTACCCTCAGGTATGGCCTTTCAAGTACCATCTGTTGATAAGATCATGGTTCATCATCTTGACAGAAATGAGAGGTCAAATACTGACCAATGTGCAACCTGGCACTAGTTTGAGTGAGAGGTGATTAAGGAAGCAACATGCATTTTTCTGTTGTAGCTACCAGCTCATCTAGCCTGAAACACAGATGTACTTCAGAACAGTGAGAAAGGATAAAATGTTGCCTTTATGCAAATGAAATTACTGATACTTAGAAATGGGAATTGAATGAACCAGCAAGATAGATTTAAATGTTTTTAAAGTAATCGGTGTACATCTTCCCAAAAAAATTTTCCGGTCAATTTCTGACATTAAAATGGCACATTTTCCAGGCTCCCTCCCTCTGCTACAAGGCTTTGTGCACAGGCTTGTTCTCTTCCTTAACACTTTGCCGTCACATCTCGCCGGTGGGCGATGTCTACAACCTAGTTCTTAGGATTTTCTCCAAACTGCCTTTGCCTTTAGTTTAGTTTAGTAGGGGTTTTTCGGCGCTCGCAACTGCATAAGGTCATATGAGCGCCAGAAGATTAGAGCTGTTACAAGAGAGTAACAAACATAAAAAAGATGAAGGTGAGATAAGGACGCTAGATGTTTGATAGGAAAGAAGAAGCAAACCACACCAGAGCACCCGCCAACCACCCAGGCATTTGCCTTTGATGGCAAGCGTTTTTACTAAATGAGCCTTGTGATGGCAAAGTGTGAAAAGGATAAAGAGAAAACAACCACTCAGTCTCTGTAAGTAACAACGGCTAAAGCTGGTCACTCATTTCACAAACCTCGTTAGGAAACTTTGCCCATTACATCTCACAAATTTGAAATATTTGTGGAAATTAAATCATCTAAAAACTTTAAAAATTGTTATCTTCTGCTGGAATAAATTAATCCAACATGGACTGGCAACGACATAGAGAGCAGACACATGTTGTCCTCGTGGTGGCCAATTCTGCAAAGACTTCTCTCGAGCTGCACTTGAACATTACATTTCTACTCCGAAAAAACCTACACTGATACTTTCCTCTTGCACAGTGTCAGCTTAAATCTATCAGTAGCACAAAACTCATGTCAAACTGATACAAAACCACTGAATCTCGCACAGTGAGAGGAGAATTCCCTCCAAGAAACAAGTCCAGGATCAGCAACTCAGGGCAGCATCGGTGCGAAACCGGCAAACAAACAGAAAACCATCCGCTACAAGCCTGCCAAATGCCCCAGGCACTTTAAAGTAAACATTGGTCCAACCCTAGGCAGACAGATCCAAAACTCTATAGGAGCTTGGAAGACCTGCGGCGAACAGCAGCCTTCGCACTAGTGACTGGGATGCCCATTTAGAGATGAACGAGAAGAAGAAGACTCCACAAGACACATAACTTATATAACTACAAGATGTACATGAGACCACAACCCCACAACAAAGTGGCTCAACAAACTGCCTAGAATCCAGGAATTATCCTGCCTTTCTTGATCATCTTCTTCCTCTTCTTGTCTTTATTGTCTGACTTCCTCTTGTCAAGATTTGCCTGCCGTCTGTCCTGTTTCTTCTTCTGCTGCTCCTCCACCGTCTTCGCCCTGTCGCCCCACTTCCTCTTCTTTTTCTCCTTAATCTTATCCTTCTTCTTCGCCGCCTTTTTCAGCAAGGTTGGATCGTCCTTCACCTTCTCACCCTGCGCCTTGCTCATCACTGTCTGCCACTGAATCTTCTCCTCTAGCTTCTTCCCCGCCTCCAAGTCCTTTTCCTTCAACTTCTCCACTTTCTCTTTACGACGCTCCACTTTCTCTAGGAGTCTCTTGTAATCCCGCCCTTGCAGGTCATTTGACTTCGACTTGTCGTTGCCAAAGGATATGACGGAGAAGTCAAACTTGGACTTGACGGGATCCCCGTTCTCATTGAGGATTTTGTTCTGGGGTGGGGACCTCAGACCGTCGGCTAACTTGTTACCCTGTGGCTCCACCTTGTGGTTCTTGTTCTTCTGTTTCAACTTTGAGTTGACTTTCTTCTCCTGTCGTTTCAGTTTCTTCTGCTCTTGTGCGTTGACAGGGTTCCCAGCACTTTTACGAGCTGCAATACAACAATAAACAAAAACTGAAATGAGAGGGAGGATTTTTCTGCGCCACAGAAAGGCAAGTTTTTCTGTGCCATAGAAAGGCAAGTTTTTCTGTGCCATAGAAAGGCAAAAGAAGTAATACAATGACATGCATAAGCGGAAAGCAATATTTTACATGGAAAGCAATATTTTACATGACACCTCTATAAAGAAGTGGCAGAAGAAAATTAAGAGCCATTCCTTCTCTGTACAGAATACAGTCGAAACTTGTCTGAGAAAGTAACACATCGTCGGGGAGAAAATTGGCTGAATTAGACCGGTGGACGTATTACACAGTGTCATTATAAAGTAAAACATACACAAGGGAGGAAATGTGAAGTGGCTTTTTGTACAGGTGGTTGTCTTATGTGGCTGTTAGAGAATGTTCTACTGTACTTCTGTGAGATCACCTAGCGCACAGTCCAGAGCAAACAAACCCTGTCTAATACTCACAGCAGGCCCTGTGACCTGCACACACGTGACAACATAGTCTAATGCAAGATCGAGATAGCCTTTACCAGGCTTGGGGGCATAAAGTAAGAATATGCGGAAACTTGTACGAGAATATTCACCTCCTCTGTTGAATCAGTTAAATGTTTATATATAACGTAAAGAAAAATTAAAAGGAGCTTGGAGAAAAAAAATCCAAGGCCATCCATCATTGTTTTCATAAAGGACAACTATTTTATCAATGAGAAAGCTAGCTTTCAACAGCCATGAACTTGGCTTGACGAGAATTATACATGAACCAAAGAAACATCTGCCACTTAGTAAGAGTTTAACGGCATTTGCAACACATTAAGGTCATTTAAGTGCTGAAAATCAGAAGTGTTGCAAGAGAGTAACAAACACAAAAAAGGAGGAGAGATAAGGACGAAAAATGTTTGATAGAAACGAAGGTGCAAAGCACACCAGAGCAACCGAAAACCACACTAGAGCACCCGCCAACCACCCGCCCATCTGCTCATCACACACAAACAACTGACCTTTCATCTCCTCCAGTTTGACTTGCAGTTTCTGCTTCAGCTCCTCCAGCCTGTTTTCCCGACGCTGCATTTCTTTGCCTTTGTTTTTCTTATTTTTCTGGGTACGACTCTGTTTTTTGCCTTCGTGTTTGGCAGCTAGTGAACAAAAACAAAAAAAACAAAACACATCACTGACTAATCCCGTGCTCTATACAAAACAGCATACTTATATTACTACTAACAAGTAAGCACACCTACAAAATGTCAACATACTCACCAAAGTTATCTCCTTTCAAAAACTGTATACAGTCGAAATTGATTAAGACAGCCGCCAATTGTCAAGAACAAAGTGGTTGCCTTAGACAGGGGATATCTTAGATTTAATAGCGTCATTACAATGTTATGTTTTGTTGTATATCCAGATATGAGAAAGAGAGATACAGCGAGAGAGACAGACAGAGACAGAGAGAGAGAGAGAGAGAGAAAGAGAGAGAGAGAGACAGACCGAGAGAGAGAGACATACAGAGAGAGAGAGACATACCGAGAGAGAGAGACAGACGGACAGACAGAGAGAGAGAGAGAGAGAGAGAGAGAGAGAGAGAGAGAGAGAGAGAGAGAGAGAGAGAGAGAGAGAGAGAGAGACAGACAGGCAGACAGACAGACAGAGAGCCAGACAGATGGACAAACACACAGATGAATGGACGGACGGACGGACAGATGGACAGACACACATACTACACACACAAGGATGGACAGATGGACAAACACACACACACACACAAGGATGGACAGATGGACAGACACACACACACAAGGATGGACAGATGGACACACACACACACACACACAAGGATGGACGTACGGATGGACAGACCGATATAAATATTTCTTGAACATGTTTTTTTTTTTAGTAAGCATTTTATACCACTTGCAACACAATTAGGTCTTAGAAGTGCCAAAGATTAGAGGTGTTACAAGAGAATAACAAACATAGAAAAGAAGGGAGAGATAAGGATGACAGGTGATTGATAGTAAAGAAGGAGCAAACCATACCAGAGCAAACACAAACCACCCACCACTTGAATATTTATACCAACCACATACTACATGTACTTCTCTCATAAGTGTACTTATGTCACTGTCATGAGCAGCAGCCAACAGAAATATATCGGAAAAGATTTAAAAGAGAAAAAGAAAAGTTCTTCCATATCAGCTTTTATCCCATCACCGACTACCATACACATTAGCTCACTTGAACCTGAACTATTTTTCACCTAACAACAATTGCAGCCTGACAGTTTTGGGGTATACTGAATCGTTGACCACAAAAAGACTGTGAAAGCTATCATAATTTTTTATAAGGCAACAAAAGAAAGAAATGCTCTCACAGAAAAAAAAACCTGTATCTAATTTGTCTGAATAGTTTTTATTTTATCAATATTTTGAAATGGCAATGTCTGGGGATTACACAATTATTTTTTTTTGAGCCCATTTTATAATGAATCATCTATTACAATGCTGGGGTGACTGACTTAGTCCATCACAGCTAAAAAAGTATCGCACATAACTTCAACCAATTTTTAACAAAATGAAACCTGCATAGCACCTACCTACCTGCCTCCCCAGACATCAGAAATACTCTATACAGCGACAAAGCACAGCTGACTAAAACCTGCAAATTCTTTGCCATATCGACAGACCGAAGGGCTAGAACCCAAATGGCCGCTGGATCGGAAAAGTAAAAGTAAAGTAAGTAACAAAATGAAACCAGTGGGTCAACTGTTGACTCGCCACTTCCCGTAGCATGAAACCGAAAAACACCTGAGACATCAATCGATAAAGTGCATCCCGTAAATGCACGGGAATAGGCACAAGTGAGTTAAAGAGGAGGACTTACCAATAGAAGAGCCTGGACCAGACGCATCAGAAGACTGCTCCGTGCCAACCTCATTTCTCTTTGTGGACCCTGATAATGATAATGTGAGACAAATATGAAAATGATGCAAACTTCATTCTTTCAACATTCTTTTGTGGAAACAAAATTTTTAAGTTACATAACTTCATATGTCTTGATGACAACAGTGGCTAACTAGATAAGCTCTCAGACTCGCAAATGTAAAGTCATGGGTTCGAATCCCATCAGAGGCTCGATATTGTGTCCTTGGGAAACACACTTTACATTTTCTCTCTTCACCCAGTTGGGAATAGGTACCCAGCTAAAGAGACCAAATCTTGCCAGTTTGTAAGTCTTTGAGCTCAAGTAATCCGGAGTGAGTTTGCACTGTATGCTTCCTCCTGGAAGGCTGAGAATGTTTTCCGAGTGTTCCTCCAGGGTCTGCTGGGGTGATAATAATTGCAAAAAGCATAAAGCATGGCGTGAAATGTGGATATGCTATATACTTGTAATTGTTGTCATTATTATCAATATCATTATTATCATATTGTGATCTCAAGATCTCCCTAATGCACATTATTTAGTACATAAAGCAGAAAACAAAGTGTCAAATTGTGGTAAAGAAATATCTAAACTAATTCTTCATAAAGCTCTAATGCACCCATAGCAGTAGAGATACGACAC